TTCACTTCCCAGGCGGCCTCAATGGCCGGAGCTTTGGGCCGTCCTTGACTGCTTTTCCAGGCCGCAGGCAGGGAGCTGGATGGGAAGTGGGGCCGCCGGGATAGAACCGGCGCCCATATGGGATCCTGGGCGTGCAAGGTGAGGACCTTAACCACTGTGCCATCGCACTGGGCCCAAAATAAATCTTTTTAAAAAGATCCTCCCAAGTTGATTTTCCAGCTCATTTAATGTTTAATTTTGTAATTCTAGTTTTAATTTTTAGGTGATTTTTTTCATGTTCTATCTTGTAATACTTTCCTAGCAACCTGGAAATTTAATCATTTTATAGCATCAAAGAACTTTTTGATGATATTGAGAAAAGATAGCTTTAGTTGTTAATTTTTAGAATATTGTTTTCTGCCTCATTAATGATTTGTTTCCTCTAGGACAGGCTTATCACTGATTTTTCTTGACATTTCTCTGACATCTTGTAGGTCATCCTCAAATGTTTGTACTTTCTCATTACCTTTAAGAATGAGACTGAGGGGCAGTTCTGTGTAGGAATGGGGCTCATTCACTGGTAGCCTTTATTTCAAGGTAAAGTGGTATTGTGGTGATATATTGGAAAGGCGGATATACAGAGAGGAGAGACAGAGAGGAAGATCTTCCGTCGGATGATTCACTCCCCAAGTGAGCGCAACGGGTCGAAACTATGCCGATCCAAAGCCAGGAGCTTCTTCCGGGTCTCCCACGCGGGTGCAGGGTCCCAAAGCTTTGGGCCGTCCTCGACTGCTTTCCCGGGCCACAGGCAGGGAGCTGGAAGGGAAGCGGGGCTGCCGGGATTAGAACCGGCGCCCATATGGGATCCCGGGTGTGCAAGGCGAGGACCTTTAACCACTTGCGCCACCGCGCTGGGCCCAGAGAAGACCTTTTCTTTTTAAGTATGTGAAATGCTTTTCCCTTTTCATTATTTTTCTTTTAAAAAAGTATTTATCATTTGAAAATCAATGCTACAAAGAGAGAGAAACCTTCCATCTGCTGTTTCACTTCCAAAGTGGATGCAACTGCCAGGGTTTAGCCAAGAGTCAAAAGCTTCTTCTGGGTCTCCGAAGAGGCTGCAGGAGCCCAAGGACTTGGGCCTTCCTCATTGATTTCCCAGTTGCATTAGCAGGAAGTTGGATCAGAAGTGGTGCTGCTGCTGCATGTACACGATGCAGTAACTTCACCTGCAAAGTCACAGTGCCAGCCCTTTCTTTTTCTTTTTTTAATTGAAGTGAAATTTACATAACAACATAATAATCATTTTACAGCATATAGTTCATGGTATTTAGTGGACTCCTAACGGTGTGCGACCCTTACCTCCACCTAGCACCTTCAGAGAGAACCCCGCCCCAGTTAGCTCTCCACCTCCCACTCCCTCACATGCCGGCAGCCACTAGTTTGCATTTTGTTTCTATTTATTTATTTTGTATATTTTATATAAATGTAATGATATTAATATGTGACTTTTGAAGGTGTCATTTTTCAATTAACATGCCACTTTCAAGATTTATCAATATTGTGGCATATTTCAGTACTTCATTCCTTTTGATGGTTGAATATTATTCTGTTATATGGATAAAGCACAATTTGTCCATTCATGTATTAATGAACATATGGGCTTTACCTTTTGACTATTGTGAATCATGCTACCATGAAACACCTGTACATGTGATTTTAGAATGCCTGTTTCAATTCTTCTGGGTATATACCTAATAGTGAAATTGCTGAGTTGCATAGTAATTATGTATTTGACTTTTTGATAAACTGCAAAATCCTTTCCCACAGCTGCTGGATCATTTTCCGTCCCCACCGGCAATGTGTGAGGGTTCCAGTTCCTTTATATCTCAAGCAGCACTTGTCATTTCAGATTTGCATGTACCTGGTAAATAATGATCTTGAGAATCTTGTTCCTTTACTTCTTCCTGTCAGATTATGTATATGTGTATATTTTGTTTTTTCATGGTCATCTCAAGAAGAGGGAAAGACATAGCAATACAGCGAACAGACAACTGTGCTTCTTTGACCTGCTCTCCAAGAATGCTCCGCTTTCCTCTGCCCTTGCTTGCTGGGACATCTGTGAGGAAACAGCCTTCTGCCCTCCCAGGCCTTCAGGACTTGTCTCGGATCCACAAGAGCTTCCTAACGTAGCCTCATTCCATGTTTCAGAATCAGCTCCCTGATGAGTCCAGCCTACAAGGAGCATTAAACACATGCACTTGGTCTTCTAATTCGAACTGGAATGGAAACAAGCATCCTTCAATATACCAGAAAAGTATCTCATATTTGCTTGTTTAAATTTTGTATAGAGGGCCAGGCGCTATGGCCTAGTGGCTAAAGTCCTCGCTTTGAACGTGCCAGGATCCCATGTGGGCACTGGTTCTAATCCCGGCTGCCCCGCTTCCCATGCAGCTCCCTGCTTGTGGCCTGGGAAAGCAGTCGAGGACGGCCCAAAGCCTTGGGACTCTGCACCTGTGTGGAGACCTAGAGGGGGTTCCAGGCTCCTGGCTTCGGATCAGCTCAGCTCCAGCCGTTGTGCTCACTTGGGCAGTGAACCATCAGACAGAATATCTTCCTGTCTCTCCTCCTCTCGGTACATCTGACTTTGCAATAAAAAATAAAGAAAATCTTTACAAAAATTTTATATAGAAAGACTGGGATTATTTGCTTTGTATACCCCTATTAAATCTCTTGTGGACCTTGAGCTATAGAGGGATGTCAGTACCTGACACGTTACAAATGGAATCAAAGTCGTGACGATGTTGTCCATGACAACACTTCAGTTTGTGGTGACACTAGCACTGCTGTGAAAGCTGCTCAGTGAACTGAAGGCACAGTGCAAAAGCAGCTGCTCAGTGAACTGAAGGCACAGTGCAGAAGCAGCTGCTATGTAGAAGGGTGTTTCATATCTGGTCGGTTGAAATTTTTGTAAGTAATTTGAAAAGATTTAAGCATTGACATTTTAATAGTGGGAGTGGTTTCTGGGTAGGCGTTTACAGTCAAGCCAGGTTACCTTGTGTTCCTTAAATTGGACAGTAAGTCCATCTTCAGCTTTGGCTTTCATTTCCTCTGCCTCATCATCTTCAGCCACATCAGTGTTTTTACTTTGAGACCCTCTGACTGCCCTGAATACTCAGCCTCAACCAGGGCTCTGTCCTCGATTGAGCTACGTGCATAACCACAGAACATTTGGGAGGAAAACGGATATCATTAATGTTCTTACTCCTTATTGCATACTTGCTGCTCACTGTTGGGTCTAAGTGGGCTAGTGCTCAGGAAATGTTTGCCAATTTGAAGTAAGTCCACAAAAGACTGTCACACGTTTTTAGAAGCAGGAACTGTGTGACTTTTGTTTCATTCTCTTCTTTGGTAAGTTCTGGGGCTTGTTGGATTATTACCTTGTTCTTGATGGATTTTTGATAGGGATAAGTTATAATGTAATTAGATCCTTATTTCAGAAGTGCAAAAATAGCACTGATTACTGTGAGAAACTGTTACAAATGACAAGGAAAGAGAATCAGGATAGAGAGCAATTTTCCAAATGTCCTTTGGAATTTTTAGTGGCATTGCGCTCAGAGTTTCCTGAATGATTAAGGCCATCATTTTAAAAAGGGACAGAGCAAGATCCTAAGCACCACTAGCACAGCGTACGTGTAGGATGAGGTGCACTTGAATCAGTTGTGAGACTTGGCAGCTTGGAGGATTGGCTGGAGTTGGCTCAGTCTGAAGGATTTGGCACGCCCTGGCCTTGCCCAGGATGCCCGACAGGCTCCAGCAACAATACCGAAGGCAAAGGAAACAGCGCAACAGCGGCAGCAGCAGCTGATGCAGGCCATCGACAACGGCCACACACTGTGGAGGCAGGTGTCTCCTTGGTGGCCGTCCTATTCCTCCATTTCCTGGATATGTAGTAGGAAAATGAATCAAAGGAAGTGGCCTCTTGGAGTGGGCATGATAGAAACATGTCATGCACAGTGTGATCATGAGCAGTAAATTAGCTAATGCTTTTAGTTCAGTATGCTGCTTGGGGTATGTGAGGTACCCAACAACGATACTAACATTGTATTTGTGGACACACATGCGCAAACACAGTTCTCTGATTTGCCTAGCATTGTGCTAGGCTATTTAATTGGGGAGTTTGGGGTGTGTCAGTGATGGAGGACTCAGTTCTCAAAGTCCCACAGTCTGATAAAAAGCTGTGCTGTCCTTCCTGAGCTTTAGTCCAAGGTGGACAGCGAATGACTTGCAGCACAGGAGTTAGGACTCTCACACCTTCATTTCCTGCTCCCGCCTGGTCTGTAGCTCCTGTCGCACCGGGCGCTCAGTACTTTTTCTGCAATTGCTGCTCCCTCTGCTTGGAGTCACCTCTTTGTAGACACCAGTGGTAGCTTGTTCCCTCACCTCTTGCAAGGGTTTGTTCAAATGTCTCTTTGTTTGTGGGGCCACCCTACATAAACTCACAAATACATCACCCCTGATTTGTTTTCTCCAGACCATGGATGCCCACAGACATTGTACTTGCTGATTTTTCATTGCAAAGCTCTGTAAGGATGGGGACTTAAAACTCTAGAGCCACCAACAAACAGTGCCCGGTATATATATTTAGTATGTAAGTATCGCAGGAGTGAGTAGCAAAGGGAGATCCTTAAATTGAGAATGGAGAGTTCTCAAAGGGTCTCCTTGGAGAACCATGGCCTTATTCTCTAAGGAATAGTGCAACATATATAAATACGGAAACGACAGGGTTTCTAGCCAGGAACTGCTGCAGCTGCCCTCCATCGAAGGAAGAGCTGGAAAGTGGTCAGCTGAGCGGAGCTTCCTGGCAGCTGCGAGACCAGGGCTGGGCTCTGCCCTTGGGCTTAGGCTCCGCCCACTGGGGGTTGGATCACGCCCACGGAACCAGGAGGCCTTCAGGCCCCGCCTCTAGGGGCGGTGTGAAGGAAGAGACGGCGCAAGCGCGCCCGCACTCGGGCAGTCGCCCGGGCCTGTGGGCCCGGGGAGGCTCCGTTGCTCGGTTCTTCCGAGTTCCTGACGCAGTGGCTGTGGTGGCAGCTCTGGCCGCTACTACCTGGTCCTACCCGCCGCAGTCTGTCACCCCCGCCGCCCTGGAACGGCTTTGGCGAAGCAGAAATGCCGCCCCCGCTCAATCGGGGCCTGTTGGTCCTGGTCCTGGTTCTGGGCTCTGTCGGCGCCGCCTTGGAATTTATGGCGCAGACCAACTCGGCAACAGGTGCCCTCCCCGACTCCACCTCGCCCCATCCTCCTCGCTCTCCTTTCCTACGCCCTTCCTTATTTTCCTCCCGCTATTCCTTCTTCCAGCCATACATCTACCCGACCCCATCTTCCTCCTTCCTCCGCTTTCCGCCCCATTAGTCATCCTTCCCTTTTCCCTCCCTCCCTCCTTCCATCTTCGCTTCCGTCCTTCTGCCAGTTTTGTCTCCTTCCGTTCCTTTGTCCCTCCATTACCTCATCCCTGCTTGCTTCCTTCCTTTATCCATTTCTCTTTGCTTTTCTCTCTCCCTTTATCCACCCGTCGTTCTTCTGTCGGCTCATTCTTCCTTCCCTTTTCTCTCGAAATTCTTATTTCTTTTCCTCCGTCATTCCCTCCCTTCATTGTCCAGGCTTCGAGCCATAGTCCAGGTATAATGCTGTCACCCAGGACTCAAGCTTTTCCTTTGCACCGCACTCCCACCCTTGCTGTGAGGCCCACCTCTCGGGACCCTGCTGGGGGTGGCTCAGTGTCAGTGCCCTTACCAGAGCCCCTTCATGCCATGCAGATCTTCTGAATGTCCTTCTCGTCGTCGTGGATGACTTGCGCCCCTCCCTGGGTTGTTACGGGGATAAACTAGTGAAATCCCCCAACATCGACCAGCTGGCATCCCGCAGTCTTCTCTTTCAGAATGCATTTGCCCAGGTAGGTGTAGGAAATGTGTGTGTGCCTGGCATATACATGCTTTGCCATGTACTGGGTTGGGGCAGGGGACCTTCAGCTATTGTTAGGTGGCACTAATTGTGCCTGGAATCTTCGTCAGAGGAAAGCATAATGTGAAAAATGGTGGTTCAGAAAATCCTGTTGTCTGCTGAGAACCTCGTATCTTCAAGGTTGTGTATGTCCCTCCTCTTCTGGTAGGGTGGGTGCACCCTGCTTCCAATACATTCAGGATAGCTTTTTTTGTCTTTTGTACTCAAATGGGGGATTGCCTGGTGCTGCAGAACGACACCCACAGATCTTCCAACATGAGCACTGGGCAAAAACCAGGCAGCTGCAGTAGCTCTGCTGGCTAAACACTAACAGGGCTTCACCCACAGGCTACCTCATCTTGTTCACCTGGACAACGCTGTCAGGTAGGAGGCCGTGGTGCTGGCTGCTTTGGAGGAGCTGATTTCTTGCCTTTTTCTTGAAGGGAAGCCTTCAATCCATGGCACCTGTGTGAGGCCCACATTGCACTGGTTCGCTTTGAGATGTGCATGACTCAGCTGCCAGGCTCTTTCCTGAGGGCCTGGGGAGGTTGCCTAGCTACCTTGGAGCTTGCGGATAGGTTTCATCGAGATAAGGTTAACCTCTCCTTCTCCCTAACAGCAAGCGGTGTGTGCCCCCAGCCGAGTGTCCTTCCTCACCGGGAGGAGACCCGACACCACGCGCCTCTATGACTTCAACTCCTACTGGAGGGTGCATGCTGGGAACTTCTCCACCATCCCTCAGTACTTCAAAGAGAATGGCTATGTGACCATGTCAGTTGGAAAAGTCTTTCACCCAGGTACTGCTCAATGTCCAAACTGTGGGTTTTCTTGTTTTGTGCGTGAGTATGGACATTCCCTCCTAGGGGAGGAGCTGTCTGGGCGTGCACCATCTTGGGCATTGCTGCTTTCCTCTAAAACTGCATCTCAGTTTGCCTTCCTATTCTTAACCAAAGTGCAAAGGGGTAGGAAATGTGCTCCTTTCAGAGCCTGCAGGCGGTGCTGCCTGGGTGATGGGGTACTCTTTCGGGGTGGGGGGGTGGCAGTATTGGGTGTGAGTCAAGCTCTGGGACTACCTCCGTGCCTTCCAAGCTCTCTGGAGGTAAAGGTAGGGGCAGGGAAAGAACGTCTACCGGTGCTGCTGTGGTGAACCTGTTGCCCAGTGAGGGAAGAGCAAGGTTCAGTGAGGGATGCTGCCCACTCTGGGAGAACTGGATCAGCAAGCTGAGTGATAGCTGTGGGCCTGAGCCCGTGTGCTGCCAGGGGTGCTGGGCCTTGCCTTGAACACCCCTGATAAACTGGCTCTCCTTTATGGGCATGGCAAAATAAGAATGTAGAACAGGTAAGCTTAAAAAAAAACATTTAAAAAAAGTTTCATGAAACACATGATTATACAATAAAGCATGAAAGTAAAGGTTAAAGAACATAAATTAATCGTAGTTTTGCCACTGTAAAGATAGCTGCATTTTCCCTTCCTATTTCAGGTATACTATTTTTCTCATGTGAGATTGTCATTATTTTTCTCATGAGGCTTATACAATTCTGTGTCCTGAATTTTTTAAAAAAAGATTTATCAACTTAAAGGCAGAAGGGCAGAGAGATCATCCATCAACTGGTTCATTCCCCAAATGGCCACAACAGCCAGAGCTGGGTATACAAAAACCTGTAGCCAGGAATTCCATCTGGTTCTCCCACGCTGGTGGTAGGAACCAAGAGCGCCTGCATCCAGAGGCTTTAGCAGGGAATTAACTAGCTCTGTTATATGGGTTGCAGGCATCCAGAGCACGAGTTTAACCTGACAGTGCTCACCTTTAAATCCTCAAATTCTTGGCCCAGCAGGATGACTGATTGGCTAAATCCTCACCTTGCATGTGCTGGGATCCCATGTGGGTGCTGGTTCGTGTCCCAGCTGCTCCACTTTCCATCCAGCTCCCTGCATATGGCCTGGGAAAGCAGTGCAGGATGGCCCAAAGCGTTTGGACCCTGTACCTGTGTGGGAGACCCAGAAGAAGCTCCTGGCTCTTGGTTTTGGATTGGCTCAGCTCTGGCCCTTGTGGCCATTTAAGGAGTAAGCTAGTGCAAGGAAAATCTTTGTCTCCGTAAATCTGATCTACCTTTCCAATAAAAGTAAATTTTTAAGAAAATCCTCAACTTTAACAGAACATTTTCCCTCAATGTTATTCTTCTGAGCTCGCTTTTAAAGGGCATAGTAATCTAACATACATACAGGTGTGCCATCCTTTAATCCAAGTTGAGGATTTCACTACTGTACACTCCCTGGCACAGAATTCTCTGGAAGCAGAGAGCTGTTGATGGGTAGTAACACCTTGTCCTGCGTTTGCCACAATTTTTTTTTTGTAATTTTGTTTATTTGAAAGGAGCAGGGGAGCACATACAGGGAGAGAGATTTTCTCTGTAGAACTACTTCTTGAAAACCTACAACACCTGGAGTTTAGCCAGGCCGAAACCAGGAAACTAGAACTCAATCTGGACTTGCCCCTTGGGTTACAGGAAACCAAATAGTTAAGCTCTCAGTTGCTCCCTCAGGGTGTGGATCAGCAGGCAGCTACTCCCTCTCAGGGTGTGTGTCAGCAGGCAGCTGGATGCGGAAGCAGAACTGGATCTTGAATCCAGGCAGCTTGGAATGCACTGTGAATGAAGTGCCATCTTAATTATTGGGCAAAATGCTGGGCTCCCAACCCTGCCATTGATTGCTATGAAATTGACCTTGCAAAAATTACTTTATCCTCTTGGAGCCTTCAATTCCTTGCCTAGGTTGGCTAAGAGGTTCCAGCACAGGCTCTAAGGAGATGCGCTGTGTAACCCCTGTCTTCCTTAGGGCTGATACACATCACTAGGCAGTGGGGGAAAGGAAGGCAAATGCTCACTCCTGAAATAGAAATCCGGAGTTGATTGTCGTAGAAACTTGGATGAGGAAGTAGAGGTTCAAGCAGGGGAGAGTCTGTCTTCCAAGATCTTTACAAAGTTCTAATTTTGGAGGGTGGTGCTTTGAGAGACCTTCGTGTCTTATTTAATGCTTTTCTTTGTTTCCTCCCTTCAAGGTATATCATCCAATCATAGTGATGATTTTCCCTATAGCTGGTCTTTTCCACCTTATCATCCTTCCTCTGAGAAGTATGAAAACACTAAGGTAATCCTGTTGTGAGAAGGAACTGTAGTTTGCTTGTCTGGAAAATAAGCTATTGTGTATACTGCATGTTCTTTGCAGCTAGTTATACCATGAAGTTGTGGGTTTCAGTCATGACAATGTATTAGAGATAGCTGTTAGAATCTGCAGCATTTTGCCTAGTGGGAGTAGGCATCGTAGAGCTAGTGTTCTTGGAAACTTAGACTGGAGTGTGTCAGACTCATTTTAGTAACTCCTTCATGGTACCCAGGGTGAGGCTCAGAGACCTAGGAATGAGAAGGGAGACCAAAGCTACGGGAACCTTATCTCGGAGTGGGAGAATGATGTACCATGTGTTTTGCTTGGTCCTAATACAGTATGTTAAACTGCTTAGACTTTTGAGAGGGGATTTGCAGTTTGTAACATTGTGTAAGAAAACAATCTTCAAGGGCAGTTAATTTGGGTTCAGAGGAATCTTTAGTGTATACATCAGTCTAAACTCACATTTAAGAATGTCAGAAAAATAGATGGAGAACTGAAAAATAATTGTTCCTTTGAGGTTTTTGGAGACTTCACATGGAAAGGGTAGACATTTTGGGATGAAGTGGAAGGTGGTGGTCTAAATTCTTCACAGCTTTCCATTTCGGGATACAGTGAAAATGGGGGCCTCTGGTCTTTGCCTTATGGCCTAATTCAGAGCAGAATGAGATTGGAAGAGCCCATTATAATCGCACAAAAGCTATCTTGCTGTACTTCTGCCCTTATCCCCCTCCTGACTACTTCTCAAAATGACAGATCTGATTGTAGCAGATCCCCCTTGACTGCTGCAGATCATGCGTGTGTGGAGGGTGAACAGTGATTTGACACAGGTGCTAACCATCCTTCCTGAAGATGGGCTGAGAGACAAGGCTGTGGAGCATTAGTCGAGAAAGCCCTTTGCGGTAGAGAAACTATGGTCCAAATGAACTTTGTCCTTGTGGCCAGTGCAGTGTTGGATAATGAAGTATTAGGTTTCATTCTGTGTGTGATGCAGCTATGAATCAGGAAATTCCATGGATGAAGGTCATCTTACCCAGTTGATTGGGACTGTGTCACAAACCTTAATCTGTCTGAATTTAATTTTTTTAAAAGCTTTTTTTTGTACTGAAATGTGATTCACCTGCCATAAAAATACTACTTTAAAGTATACAAATCAGTGGTTTTTACTGTATCTACAGTTATACGGCCATCACAAAAATCAACTTCATTTACTTTTTTTTTAAAGATTTATTTTTATTATTTTTTTTATTGGAAAGGCGGATATACATAGAGGAGAGACAGAGAGGAAGATCTTCCATCCGATGATTCACTCCACAAGTGAGCGCAACAGCCGATGCTATGCCGATCCGAAGCCAGGAGCCTCTTCTGGGTCTCCCACGCGGGTGCAGGGTCCCAAAGCTTTGGGCTGTCCTCGACTGCCCTCCCGGGCCACAGGCAGGGAGCTGGAAAGGAAGCGGGGCTGCCGGGATTAGAACCGGCGCCCATATGGGATCCCGGGCATGCAAGGCGAGGACCTTAACCACTTGCGCCACCGCGCTGGGCCCATCAACTTCACTTATTACTGTACCCTAGGAAGAAATTGTGGTACCCGTTACTTGCCATTTCCTCTCAAGTCACAACCTATAACAGCTGATCTGCTTGATGTATTTATGCATTTACCTATTCTGGACATTTCATGCCAATGGAGTGACGTCATCATTTATAGCTGGCTTTCTTCATTTAGCATGATGTTTTTGGACATCTACCATCCAGAAGCCTCTATCTTTTTCACTTTAATGGCTATATAATATTCCATTGTATCACTTTTTATTCCTTATCACTGGTTGGAGGTTTGAATTATTGATAACTTTTAGCTGTTAGGAATAATGTACAAGCATTTTTATGAACTTTTGAAAAATTTGCTTTGGTATGTACCCAAACCTGGAACTGCTAAGCCCCAATATTATGTTTAACTGAGGAAATGCGTGGTTATCCTTCTAAGGTGATTATACTGGTCTACATTCCCACCAGCAGTGTATGAGAATTCCAATTTCTCTGCATCCTTGCTAGCATTTGTTATTGTCCTTTAAAAAAAATTAACCCTTCTTGTGGGCGTGATGTTATATCTCATAGTTTGGGTAATTTCCCTAATGACTAATTATGTTAAGCATGTTTGCATGTGCTGTTGACCATTTATATAACCTCTGGAAGGAATGTCTTCTAGTCCTGTCCATTTTAGTTTTTTTATGTGTTACTTTTGTAAGGCTTTTTGTCATTATTATTTGAGAGGGATGGGGAAGAGAGAGCGAGAGGGAGAAAGCACAAATGGAACTATTCCCCTCATCTGGTGGTTAACTCCCCAAATAATCATAACATCAACAGTTGTGCTAGCGAAAAGGAGTTCTAGGTAAAGCTAGAAACCAAGAACTTAACCCAGATCCCCTGTGTGGGTGATAGGAATGGCTTCTTTGAGCCACTCCCACGGTCTTCCAGGGGGTCCATTAGCAAGAAGGTGGAGTCAGGCACCATATCCAGGAGCTGGACAAAGGAGCCAGACACTCAGTTGGGAAATGGACACTCCAATGAGTAGGCAAAATGCTTGCTCCCTCCTTTCCCATTTTAAAATTTTTATGTATCTTTTCAGTTTTTAATGTTATTTATTCAGTTGTAGGGACAGTTTTGTGATTAGTTTGTCTAGGTTTTCTCTCATTGCTAATGATCTGGAGACAGAGGAGTAGTAGCAGGGAATTAAATGTGGGTTAACTTGTGGCTGCTACCTGTGAAAGACACAGTTCTGATGTGCTTTCTCAGTCTGAATGGTTAATAGCAAAGGGCAATGATGTCAGTGTTACATGCAATGTGTGTAATGTTTCATTTCTGTTTACTTCATTTCAAAAGCTAATATTACGTATTTTGTTTTGGAAGACATGTAAGGGACAAGACGGAAAACTCCATGCCAACCTGCTTTGTCCTGTGGATGTGGAGGATGTGCCTGAGGGCACCTTGCCTGACAAACAGAGCACAGAGCAAGCCATTCAGTTGTTGGGGAAGATGAAAACGTCGGGCAGTCCTTTCTTCTTGGCTGTTGGCTACCATAAGCCACATATCCCCTTCAGATACCCCAAGGTGAAGAGCTGCTGGGGGGCTGATCCAATACAGCTACTACGGCCACGGTTGTTGAGGGAGAACTTCATGTAATGAAGGTGGTCATATGTTACTATTCCAGTTGCCAAGGATGCCTGATTGATGCTAGTGTAAAGATGAGGTTCAGAGCTCAAGGTCAAGAAGTAGTCTTAGGGCATGTCAGCATTTGGAAAGATGCTTGAATTTCTACTTTCCTCTGGGGGATTTTATTTCCTTTGCTGGAATTTGTTGAACAAATGTTATGTAGGGTGGCGAGATGATGAGAGGGAAGGGAGTCAGAGCTGATGTCCAAAGCCTATAGTAGAGGATGGACCTTGGAAAGGATTCCTGGCTTTGAGTAGCCATCATCGACGAGTGTCTCCCCTCTGCTTCCTGAGCCAATCAGTTCAGACCTCTTAATATTTGTTGGAACCTCAGATCCTATAATTGTATATCATTTAGAGCATGTGGCTTTTTTCCTTTTTGTAATCTTTTTCAATTTTCCCTAGGGACGAATAGTCCATCCTTTTAACTTTGCCCAGATTTCCTCACTTGTAATGGGAGTAGAGCCCAGAAGGAAGGCTCTTTGATGCTGCAGGTGTCTTGTCTTGATTGGCTCAGGGGATCTTGCTTCCCAGTAGAAGCTTCTAATCCCCTTGATAGAAGCCTGTAAGACTCACCTCTCCTGCATCTTTGTAGAAAAGAGTTAACACAGCCAGAGTGGCTGTGATCCTCTGAAAGGTCTGCTCACAAAGTTGACCCTTGGCTGACATCAGAGACTTTGATTTCAAGAATGTCCCCATCGTCCCTGGAACTGACGAGTGGTTTACTATGGCCTCAACTGGCAAATGCTATGATTTATGATGAGTCAGTGTTTTCCTTCTGGGAACCTAGGATTCTATGTAGAAGGTGGCTTTAAGGCCAGACCCCAATAAAAGCCAGATGCTGAGGCTTCAGTGAGCACTAGTTGGCAGCATTTCAGGTCTCGTCACACAAGTCATTGCTGGGAGAATGAACTGCATGCTGTGACTCCTCTGGGGCAGCACTCTAGGAGCTTAGCCCTCGTTTTCCCTGGACCTTGCCTCCTGCCCTTTCCCTTGAAGACTGTGTTTGGTTCTTTCCCTGTAACAACTTGGAGCTGTGAGTATCTATGATGGTACGTTGAATCCTCGAAGTTCTAGTGAATTACGAAGTTGAGTAGTTTTGGGAATATCTAACACCTTTCTGTAACACTCTTCCAGTTGGGAATGATATGGGGACAGTAACTAGAGGTTGTATGTTGGAAGAGGACTGCTGCTTGGATTTCAGGAAGCATCAGTTGCATGATTTTATCACATTGAAATCTTGTGACAGTGGCCTAAGGTGTGGGCTTTGAAAAGGGTAAGCGCTGAGGGAGTGACAGTGAGCCACAATGTAAATGCATCCCAGGCTTAGAGAAAACACAGGATAAGCACTTAGAGCTGTTGCTTCATGCCTTTGCAAAAAACTGACAACCTTGTGGCTTTGTGTGTTTTCTACCCAAGGAATTCCAGAAATTATATCCCTTGGAGAACATCAGCCTGGCTCCTGATCCTGAGGTCCCTGATGGCCTACCCCCTGTAGCCTACAATCCTTGGATGGACATCAGGCAGCGGGAGGATGTCCAGTCCTTAAACATCAGTGTGCCCTATGGCCCAATTCCTGTGGACTTTCAGGTACCAAGGACATGCTGTGGGGATATCTTAGACAATGATGGCATGATACCATTGGTGATACCAATTGACAACATTTAAAACTTTAAGGAACTTTCTCTGTGGGAGACATTGTGTGCTGGGTCAGCGGTGATCTGTAGAAATTCTGACATGCAGATAGTACAAGGTGAATCTGCCAGCCAGTGCCCCAGCTTCCAAATTAGAAGTGGCCATGGCAGTGGGCAAGTGGCGTGCATGATTGTCTTTAAGTCACGGGGGATGCTGTTGAATTCAGATGATCAGTAGGGTGAGGAACTCTTCAGTAGCCCAGAATGCTAGGTTTGCTCATACTTGCCGGTTCTCTTATAGGAAAGTGTGCTCTGGTACCTGTCATTTTCAACATTTGACTTTGTGAGCAAACATTGTAGAAGGGGAACTGGAACACCTCCATGTACATTGCTGTCCAGCCGTGATAGCTAGGGTGCCTTTGCCATCGTATGAAGGCAGAACATAAAGTTAGAACCTGATGCTTGCTGACATCCTCTTTACCTGCAAAGTACAGGATTCATGCTGCCCAGTGCTCTTTCTAGATTATTCTGTTTGGAGCTCTGCTTTTCTCTCACCACACAAATACTACAATAGGAAGGCTGCAGTGGATGCAAGAGGCAGTGTTTCTTAGTGTACTTCTTGGACCATCAGCAGAAGAATTGCGGGTGAATTTGTTAGAATTGCAGAGCCCTTGGGCCCGGCACCATGGCCTAGATGCTGAAATTCTCGCCTTGTACGTGCCAGGATCCTATATGGGCACTGGTTCTAATCCCGGCAGCCCCACTTCCCATCCAGCTCTCTGCTTGTGGCCTGGGAAAGCAGTCAAGGATGGCCCAAAGCCTTGGGACCCTGCACCAGTGTGGGAGACCTAGAAGACCTGATTCTGATGTACTCACAAATTTGAGAACACTATTATATATTTTAAAATCAAACCAAACCTATTTGGCACCCAGGTTTTCAGAGCCATGGGTGCTGAGCAGTGTGAATTTTTCAAATCTTTTTTGATTCCTGAGTTCTGAATAGCAAGTAAGACTTTAGAAAGCAGAAAGCTCATCAATTCCTTTATCACCATTTGCATTGCGGGAGTTTTGATGAGGTGACTTGGATGCCATATTTATGACAGTTACTTAAAATGATTGGATTGAGTGCCAGGATAGGAGCTGCGTATTTATATGTGCTGTTTCCTTTGGTTGCCATAGGAACCTAATTGGGCACCTGTCTTGGAAACTCAGAAACGTAAAAGAGGAGGTGTGCTGACTTGCTTCAGTCACAAAGTTAGTGCCTGGTGAAGGCAGTCAGCCCTCAGAAATGTGACTCCGGAGTCCGTGCATGGCTTTGTCAGCACGGGCAGTCTGGCTTCAAATTTAGTACTTCTGCATACCAGCTGCATGGCTTCTATTAAGTCATTTTGCCTCTGTGATCTTCAGTTTCCTTGTCAGAGAAACAGATGGGTAAAGGTTTTCCCTGATAACACTGATTCTGTAGTTTTTCAGTGGACATGGACATTCAGTGGAGCATGGACGTCTAGGACAGTGTCAAGTGCATGCTGAGGTGTCATTCAAGCTCTCCCAATTCTCCTCCTTGCACCTGCATCCATTGGACATATAGCCGACAGTGTGGTGCTTGAGGCCTCTCTCTGTCCTCATGTGCTGGCTCTTGCCCCACATTTACCTTGCTTCCCATTCTCACAGCTTTGGATGTCCGTCTCATTCCAGTCAGGACCAGCTCTCTAACCCAATCAGCAACAGTCGGTGAACTCGGGGCCCGCAGCAGAACATACGCCACTTCCCAGGCCTGCCTGTTCCTCACCATCACCCTGCACACCCCTCCTTTCAGCCGCCCTGCTCCATGCTCTCATTTCCTTCATTTCTCCTGTATAGACCTGTGGTGGCTAGCAAGCCTCTTGGCTTTACTTCTTTCCTGAAGAGTTCAGGCCTTGCTAGCCATGAGAACACCTGTCCCTTTATCATTGTCCCACCTTCAGTACCCTAAGCAGAGGGCAATCCAGCCATGTCCTCAGCTCTGAGTCCTGAGGCTTGCTCAAGAGATTCTATGGAGCAGGTGCATGCAGCGAGAGGCACTCTGCTGCCCAGCTCCAGCTCTAGTGGTCCTATGCAGGCTTTCTGCTTGACTCCTGCCTTTCTCTGCAGCTGCTTTGGACCCTTGCCACTCCTCTCCAGGACAACACCTCTCTGCCTGCTTTCTCGGCAGATATCCTCCCTTCCTGCTTTAGAAATGGGTACTGGTTGTCAGCCACAAGAAAGGGAAGCTAGAACGTGGACATAGGTACAGATAAGGGCTTTACCTTTATCAGCTGTGTGACTCTAGGGAGGTTACTATTTCTGAGCCTCGGAGTCATCATGCATAAGATGAGAATGGCAACATTCACCATAAAAGTCTTCACATGATTGGATGGCACCCAGCAGGTGCCTGGTAAGTGGGCACTATTCATAATCTTTGCCACTGTAATAAGGAGCTTCGTGTGTGCATGTGTTGAGCTTGACATTCTCCCAAATCTCAGAAGAAGAATGACATGGATTTGAGCCCCACCTCACATTGCCCATCTCTGCAATCCAGTGATTGGGGTTTTCCTTTTCCCTACTTTGCCTGTGTGCATATCTGTCCAATATTCCAAAGTGTGCACTGCCTCCTTTGTTCTGCCTTTATCCCTCTCTCTCCTTCACCTGCCTTTCAAAGGAGTCTGATGTCAGTGTGTTCCACATGTGCACCTTCCCTCACTGTGCATTGGTCCATTCTCTGCTCAGGGTTCTGACCCTCAGTCTCACCGAGTCCTTTCACCTGGGTCAACACTGACTTGACAAAATCTATCCTTGTGGGTACTGACCTTCTCTGAGCTCAGTATTCCTTTCTCCTTGTTGACCATCCTCCCCCTTCTGAAAGTATCCATCCCTTTTGGGTTGCCTTGTTAGTCTCCCTGGGTCCCCTCTGCTCCAGGTTCTATGTTGTGCCCCTCTCCTTTGCTTGGGGACTAGGTGTTGCCACCTCAGGGTCAGGGGTCACTCCTAGGCTCTTCCTACCCATGTAGGTGCTGGTTTGGCTCATACGGGCCTTGCATGCAGATGACTCCCGGGAGCACTTGCCCAGCCCAGGCCTTGTTCCTGATTTTCAGACTTGCTTCTCAGCCTTCCTGTGAGAACAGTTTCCAGACAGATAACCATGGAGACCTTGGCTTTGTAGGCTCCTTTGTGATCAGACCAGCGCCCTCAATCTGCCTTTTGTGTTCCTCTTCTGTCCCCCTGCCCTACCCATGTACTAGTGAATCGTACTAATAGACAAAAGTGTAGAGTCATCGTTGGACCCTTAGCTCCTTCTACCATTCCCTCCATCCTCTTTGCTTTCCCCTGCCTGCTTGAGCTCCACAAGTTTCTCTCAAATACACTCTGATGTTGGGATCCTGCAGTGTCTCTTTTTGCAGTGGGTTGTATCTCATTTACTCAGTAACTGTGCTCAGCATCTTATGTGTGCCCAGTGCTGATTTGGTACAGTTTTGTCCAAAGCTACTGGAATCTGTGCTCCAGGATATTCTCATAGACTAACCCCTGGTCCAGATCATGTCACCTCTTTGGTTTGGAACACCTCAGTAACTGCCTTGGCCTTCAGCCGGGGCTATGCATTCATTGCAGAAATGTGCGAGGTGTCTCTCATCTGGCCTGGCTCTGCCTGGTCAGTGACTTCTCTCGCCTGTGCCCTCTTTAGCCTCCAACCACAGAAACATGTTCTTCAACCCCGAACATGTCCTGTTCTTTTAGGACTCCATTGTCATTCTATATACTTCAGCACTTACCCACAGTACCCTAACCCCACTTGTCTGAGTGACTCTTCTCAAAGGCCAACTCCATTGAAGCCACCTTTGATTCCCCAGGCAGACTGGAGGGCCCATTCTTCTGGGTCATTGCTATATCCCACCAGTACTGTGTGTGTTTCTTGTCTCCTTGGTTGTGTATTCACTGGCCAGGTGGTTCTTAAGGATTCAGACCATATCTGCTTGTTGCCTTATTTTTGGAGGCTAGCCTAGGAAGGAGGGAGTACCTTGGCGTATCCTGGCAGGTAGCTTTGGTCCCTGGGAGAACCAGATTTCGCAGAGCTGGAGACTAAAGACTTACCCACCAGTAAGTATAAAGCGTGCCAGGGTTCAGCATCATCTTTCTAGAAAGTTAGATGCGTATCTGTTCTTTTCACTACAGGGAGATATAGCTGAGTCTTGTGTTCTCACCTGGCAGCAGTGAGAGCCTGGTGGGCAGGTACTCTGCTAGTGGCAGGAAGTGGGGCTCATCCAAGTAATGGTTCCTAGACGGGGGTGGGATTCTTTTCCTTGATGTTTGTTAACAGGGTTGGGGATGACTCATGCCAGTCAAGTCTTACGGCTCTTTGAGGACTAGCTATGAAGAGAAGCAATTGCTACTTTGTGTTGAGTTAGAAAATGGTTACAAGCGCTCACTCAGGCCCATTGTTCTGGGTTCCATTGTGTTTTCCAAAAAGATGTATTGAGGTCCTGAGCCCTAGAACCTCAGAATGTAATGTGGAAAAATGATTATTATAGATGAAATTAAGGTGAGGTTTTATTGATGAAGTAAGCCCTAGTCAAGTGTGACTGTGTCCTAGAAGGGGGGAGAGAGATGATAGAAAGCCCACGTGAGGATGGAGGCAAAGTGCACGTTGGGGAACACCGAGGACTGCAGCCAACACTGGAAGCTGCGAAAACACAAAAATTGTCTCTTGGAGCTTTCTTTGCAGACTTAGAGTGCCCAGAGTCAGGCAAGAGCAGCAACTTTCCAATGCTTCAAGACACTCACTTCGTGGTACTTTGTTATGAAGCCACAGGAAATTAATACAGATCCATTTGATCTTTCTCATGCTCTTCAGAGCACTTGTGGGTCCATACTTGGAGGGACTGAGGCAGCAGAAAGGAACAGTTAGGGCCACACGTGTTGATGTAGTCTGTGCCCTCATGTGAAGGTAGACGCACTTAGAAACAGATCTTACCTTAAAGGTACAGAGTGCTCCGTGACTGTGGGTGAAGGGCTGTGGATCTCAGGGAAGCAGTGTTACATCTGGGCGAGAATGTCGTCAAGGGTTAGCACCTGCAGGGCAGAGCCAGTGCTGCTCAATGGGCATTATTTCTGTGCATGCTGTGCTAATTCCCTTGCAGTTGCTTTCATGACTCATGGCATGTTTCTCGTTTGCAGCGGAGAATTCGCCAGAGCTACTTCGCCTCTGTTTCATATGTGGATGCGCAGATTGGCCACCTTCTTAGTGCCTTGGATGCTCTGCAGCTGGCTAGCAGCACCATCGTTGTGTTTACTTCAGATCATGGTAAGCATTAGCAAGTGCCTTGGTGAGGGGAGTTTTTGAGGAAGTCGCCACTTTCTTGCCTAATATACCGTTTAAAATTGTTTTGGACATGGGCGTTTTCTTTTTGTCAGTGGAACTCCAAGTTGGGATAATTCTTTTGTTTAGGGAATCTACTAATACATTAGATTCTCAGAGTCACAACAGATCATAACTATAGCACAATGTTAATGTGATAGTAATACAAAGAGAATAGATTAGATGGAGTTTCATCGATGCTGCCTCTCCGCCTCCTACCTGCCTTCCCTTCCTGCCTAATCAGGTTGTCCTGGAACCTTATCTCAAATTCAGGCCTACGGCAATCCTTGTTTGCTCTTGGTGAACTCACTATTTGTATGAAAGAGTTCTTTTAACCCCTATTTTCCAAATATTGGAAAACTTTTGGTTTTGGGAGGAAGTGTCCAGGATAATTGTGGAAGAGCCCAGCAAGACCTTCGGATTTGGCTCCACCCCTCACTCACACTGTCCTCCCTGCCAAGAGCCTTGGGGGGGGGGGGGTGTCTCAATTTTCTTTCTGTTTCATCTAAGGCTGTTTTCAACTTTCTGCCAAAATGAGTTATCTTTTTTATTTTTAAAAAACACTTATTTTCACTGGAAAGGCAGATTTACAGAGAAGGAAAGACAGAGGAGGATCTTCCGTCTGCTGGTCTAGCCCACCCCAAGCGGCTGCAATGGCCAGAGCTGAGCTGATCTGAAGTCAGGAGCCTCTTCTGGGTCTCCCATGTGGATGCAGGGTCCCAAGTCTTTGGATCATCCTCAACTGCTTTCCCAGCCACAGGCAGGGATCTGGTTGGGAAACTGGGACCCCAGAATACGAACAAGCGCCCCTATGGGATCCCTGTGCGTGCAAGGTGAGGATTTTAGCCACTAGGCTACTGTGCCAGGCCCAAAATGGAATTACCCTTAAAAATCTTAATTTTGAAAAACAAATTTCACCATGCCCAAAGTAGCGCATAAAGCAGGAGTTCCCCCAGTTGCCCACTAGTAATAATCTTGTTTATCTCATCCTCACCCGTGTCCCCAATCCCCAGCCCAGTTTTCAAGTAAATCCCAGTTGCTTCCATTTTCCAACCATTATCCCTAAAGCATGTCGCTTCTTTTTACATACAATCATATTGCTATTGTCATATCTAGAGGAAAAAAATTTTTATATCATCAAATATGAAACAGGACAAAGGTAAATCATAACATATGCTCATGACAAAAAGAGAAGGAGTGGAAGCATATAATACAGGCCCAGACTGTCTTGCCTTTTTATCCCACCTGCCTAGGGGTAACTAACATTGGTGGATTGAGGCTCCATCTGCCAGCCAGTGACTGTGCACATAGGAAGGGTCCTTAAAAGGTTCCTGGAAAATACACACTCTCATATCTTCCACATTAAACTTATGTTTTAATTTAATTTTTTACCACCTTTTTGAAGTCCCTTCACATATACATGGGTATTGATACAACATGTGGTGTATCTGTATCTGATTGACTATGCTGTATGTACTGTTAGGTCCTCCACCGTGATTTAATGTGTCATATGTACTGTCCTTCAAGTCATTTTTCACAGGCCTACCTTGGAAAGTTCTGGAGGTGCCAGGAGTTTTCACATATCCCTGGTGGTCTGCCTTCTACTTCTGACCCTTCTCCTCAATGCCCAGTTTGCTATTCTGCCTGAGCATGCCCTTTACTCTGAATCAGCTGCAGTTGGTTGTAGATAGGCAGCCTCAGCTGCCCTCCTGAAGTGCCCTCCAGCACACCTACCTAGGAGCTGGGAAAACCTGCTGCTTCCTCTGCCTGTGCTCAGGGGCCTGCAGAGCTGGGCATGGGCCTGTGCAACCAGTGCTTTGGGTGCTTGTGACCGCTTCCTCTTTAGCTCCTGTTTCCTTGGTCTGCCTAAGCTGCTGTGGACTTGGTCTCTGGGTAGCAGCCAGAAGCCTTCTAGCTGGCTGGCAGGGTCCTCAGGCTCTTATTCCTCCATCCTTGGGCCTCTCGCAGGCATATGCTCTCTTTAGCAAGACTTTTTTTGCATGTTTGCTCCTGACTAAAGCAACCTGGACCAAAGGCAACACATGACTGGTGAATGCATTTTTGTAGTAGGTAGATCACAGCTTCTGTTTAACAATTTTCTATACGAAGACTCTTAGCTGGGCCTGGAGAAAATCTATACCTGGCACTGGGTGCCACACGGTGGCCAGCAGAGGCCCATAAGCTTAAGGTTTCCATGTTTGGTGATGTCACAGAGAGCCTGGCTGATGTTGCCTCCAGACCTGCATGTGGCTTCCTGTCAGACTTCTGGGACTTGAGTAGAGAGGGTGGCACTGCTAGAGTCCCTCGCTTTATTTCTCTCAAGCTCCTTGACCTTCAACCTTTGAGCTTCCTGCAAGACAGGGGCAACATCATCTCCAAGCTGAACCCCTTCTGCAGCCCTGCTCAGGCAGATCGAGCTCTTCTTCCTGGAGAAGACGGGATGTGGGGCAGCGTGGGGGTGGAGGGATGGCACCTCAGCGAGCTCATGGGGCTGATGTACTTCAGAGACGTGCTGTATTACTGAGCTCCTCCAGATTCTGAAAAGCCCCAGGACCGACAGGGAGAAGGGACTGCCAACAGCGTGGACTGTCCATGACAGGCATGATGTCTCCCTTAACTGTTGATTATCAAGAGGTTCCTTTCAAGTCGGGGTCTTGTTAGAAGAGCGGTGTCGACTAAGAACCAGTCCTGTTCTGGAAAAAATGGATTCTTTGCAGGCTGGGACTCCATTTGCAGCTCAGGCACCACCTCTGAGTGGAGCGTGTGAGGTACAAGCTATGCTTTGCACGATCCTCTCAGATGTTAGCTGGAGGCTATGATGAATGCAGTGCAGTGTGTCAAACCCACACGTGGCAGTTTGTGATTGGCTATTTTTGTAATACTAAATTTGCAATGAACAATTTCTGTCATGCACTTTTTTGTATTAAAAAGAGTGCTCGAGGGCCCGGCAGTGTGGCCTAGCGGCTAAAGTCCTCACCTTGAATGTGCTGGGATCCCATATGGGCGCCGGTTCTAATCCTGGCAGCTCCACTTCCCATCCAGCTCCCTGCTTGTGGCCTGGGAAAGCAGTCGAGGACAGCCCAAAGCCTTGGGGCCCTGCACCCATGTGGGAGACCTGGAAGAAATTCCTGGATCCTGGCTTCGGATTGGCATAGCATCGGCCGTTGTGCTCACTTGGGGAGTGAATTGTCGGACAGAAGCTCTTTCTGTCTTTCCTCCTCTCTGTATATCTGACTTTCCAATAAAAATCTTGAAATCTGCAAACTATATTTTGCAAGTGTGAAGGGTTGTTTTTAATCAGGCTTAAGGATCTGGAATCAAAAGTCTTGTTTTCCTCTACCTTTAAAGATTTGTTTTTTTTATTAGAAAGTCAGATATAAAGAGAGGAGGCGAGACAGAGGAATATCTGTCCATTGATTCATTCCCCAAGTGGCCGCAACAGTTGGAGCTGAGCCAGTTTGAAGCCAGGAGCCTCTTCTGGGTTTCCCACACTGGTGCAGGGTCCCAAGGCTTTGGGCCATCCTCGACTGCTTTCCCAGGCCACAAGCAGAGAGCTGGATGGGAAGTGGGGCTGCCAGGATTAGAACTGGTGCCCATGTGGGATCCCGGCTCATGCAAGGCGAGGACTTCAGTTGCTAGGCCATCATCCGGACCCTCCTTTACCCTTAGAATGTCTTAAAAATTGAGAAAGATATCCTGATCAGTTTTGAATTTCAGCAGGTTTGCCATAGCCCCTTCATGTGTCAGTGAAAGGGAAAGCCTGAGCTGCTGGGAAATTAGTCCAGAGAAACCTAGGCAGAGGGTAAAGATGAGCTTGTCTCAACAAGGCATGCGCATGCGTCCTGCATAGCCCCATGTGGGTATATATACTAGTTGCCTCTTAAAAATAAAAATTGATAATTTCATTTGGAAATGTAATTTTTGTTTTATAAACATTTTAATATTGAGGGCATATGAATGATTTTGAAGCTCAGACTGATACTGTCCTATGAGATGTGAGTATGCCAAGCAATAGCTTCCCTGGCTGCACCCCAGTGCCACCTCGTTCCTTTGGGGTTTACAGCAGGAACCAACGTAGCTAAAATTCACAGGCTATGCTAGGATTATTCATTTTCTGTCTTTTTTCTTTAAACCAGGTTGGGCTCTAGGTGAACATGGAGAATGGGCCAAGTACAGCAACTTTGATGTCACTACGCGCGTGCCCCTGATGTTCTATGTTCCTGGGAGGACGGCTGCACTTCCAGAAGCGGGCGAGAAGCTTTTCCCATACCTTGACCCCTTTGATTCCATCTCAGAACCGATGGTTCCAGGTATAAAATATGTTAAAAGTGATATTGCCTAATAGTAATTGCACCTTTCGTTTCTTTATGACCTATCTTGCCCAACCCTGGACTATCCGCTGCCACAGCCCTTCCTGCCCTGTGTTCCTTCTTGACATTGTTTAGTCAGCACGCATTTCCTGAATACATCCCATGTTGTGGGTGTGGGAACAGTGGCGAACTAGAGCTGACACATCTGGTTGCTGCCCAGTAGGATTTCCGGAGTGGGCAGGGACAAAGGAGCAGGCGTTCTCTCTTGTATGGAGAAAGCTGTCCTACAGCTGACAGCAGTGTGAGCGGGAGCTAGAAGGCGGCCTGCTTCTCTGCCACCTGAGCTGAATCCTTAACCTGCACACTCTGGCGCTTTGGGCAGCGATTCAGCCCTTTGCGCATGTCAAATGGAACATTTTCTATGTTGGCAGCAATGGACTGGCAGCCACTCATCTGTTCAACCACTTGATCTATAAATCTGTTCTGTCCTTCCTAATGGTGAAGGGCAAGTTTATTTTGACGTGATGTGCCAGTCTTTCAAAGCTCTGAAAATAGCAAAAATGACTTCCTCCTCTACCAATCCCTCCTGCCAATTTGCCAATCTGCTGTGCCTGAATATAAACTTCTGTTTCACTTTCAGTCTTCTTTTTCACACACATCTCCTTCTGGAAAAATGGTAGTAATTGCTCCTGACAAAAATCATGGATTCGTACCTTATCCCCTTTCTTTTAAGTTAATTAATTAATTCTTTCTTTTTAGTACAGTTTACATAGTTGAGAGGCATGCAGGCCCACGTTGGCCTCTGATTAGGGTGGGGAGGACCAGGTATGGAGGAAGGTAACGTGGCTGGGGCACAGGTCTAGTGTTTTTTTTTTTTTTTTTTTTTTTTTGCCGTGTCCACAGGAGAGGAGAAGAAGGAGGGGGCTCGTAGCTGTCAAACTACATCAACAATCGGGGATGGAGCTGGTCATTTGATGATGCCTTAGAGACACTGATTTGGGCAACTGTGATCTGAGGGTGTTACTTGAGTGGACTTGATAGTTCTGAGAAGGTGTTGGCTTCATTGCTGCAGGGTTGAGAAAATCTTTCCAAGTTCTGTGGGTGGACAAAATCTAGCACAGGGCATCCACAGCCCCAGGAACCTGTTGCAAAGCTTGGGCAGGAGAATTGTGCAACCTGTTCTGCTTTCCGTCCTGTGATGTGCCCTGCTGGCCTAGATGAGCTGGCCGTCATGTCCCCCATGTGGATCCGGACATGCTGTCCACTGCATAGGCATTAGCAACTGAGGAGGCCCAGTGCTAGTACATGCACTCCAAGGTTGGAGCACACATCCTGTGATTTTCTCAGTGGCTGGAGTCTGAGTCCAGTGGTGTAGTGGAGTTGTTGTCCCAGGAGACCTACCTGGGGTGACCTCAGACTTGACTCTTGTAAGTGAAGTGCCAGCCAGTGCAGGGTCAGGTGTGGTCTGTCACCTGCACAAGCCAACAGCATGTAACAGCATGGTAGTGAGTGCAGTTGCATGGTCAGTGCCTCCCCAGCCCCATATCTCACATGAACCGACAAGTGCTGTAGCCCAGCCTAGGCAGCCTACTGCAGACCCAGTCTTCATGCATACCAGCAGGTGTTACAGCCTGGTCAGGGTGTCCCTAAATGACCTCCACCAGACCTGCTCCAGCCCCAGTTTTGCACATGCCAGCCTCTACTGCAGCTTAGCCTGGCCCAGCCAACATCCCATCCAGCTCTCATGCACACCCATGGGTGCTACAGCTTAGCTCAGCCCAGTGCATCTCCAGACGTGGCTTTCACATATGCCGACAGGTACCTCTGTCTTATCCAGCCTGGCCTGCCTGTATCCCTGGTGCTTATGCTCACTAGTGGTAGGTACAGCTTAGCAGAGGAGTGCCCACAGTTCCCCTGCCAGGCATGTTCCCAGGCCTGCATCTTGCACCTGCTAGAGGGCACTTTGGTTTAGTCTAACATGACTCACATCCAGTCATGGCACTTGTCATCTGGTGCTATGGCCTAGCCTGGCTGGCCCACACCCATTCTGGCTTTCATGTGTGTCAGTGAGTACACAGCCTAGCACAGCCTGACCTGTCCCCGGTCCCAGCTCTCATGCTCACCAGTGGAAGCAGCAGGCCAGTAACGGAGTCTCTGAACTTCCCCTACCACAGCTTCTCCCAGTCTTGGGTCTTCCATGTGCCAGTGAGTAGGTGATACAGCCCTGTCTAGGATTACCTGTTTCTAGTGTTGGCATTTGTCATCAGGTACTACAACCCAATTTAGTTTGGCTGTCCCCAGTCCCAGCTCTCACCTCGGGGTTTAGTAGCCTAGGTTAGCCTGGCCCATCCCCAGCCCTCATGTGCACTGGTGGAGTTGCGGTTTTATCCAGCCTTGCCTGTATCCTCTTCTAGCCCTCACTTGTGCCAGTGTGTGCTGTGCATTGATTGGCTCACACTATGTCAACGATTACTGCAGCCCAGCCTGATTTAGCCTGCCCGCCAGCCCCAGCTCTTAAGCTCACTAGTGTGAACTGTTCCTAGCAAGGGAGTTCCCCACGTTCATGTACCAGCCCACTCTCCATAATGTATCTTGTATTTAACAGTGCGTGTTCTTTTCCAGACTGACATGGCTGGCTGCCAGTCCTGGCACTCATTGCTGTGTACTGCAGCAAAACCCAACTGGCCCCTAACCGTTCCTTCTTTCATTGATGGATATTATAGCCTAGCCCAGTCTTGCTCACCCCGATACCTGGCTGTTATATGACCCAGTGGGTGCTGTGACTTAGCTGGCCTGCCCCACACCCATTCTGACTCTCGTTAGTGCCAGCAGGAGCTGGAGCCTAACCCAGTCTGGCCTGCCCACATGCATGTTGACTGCTGTTGCAGCCTGGCCATGCCCAGCCTTCTCTCAGCCCCAGCTTCCACAAGTGTCAGGTAGGTTCCTGTCAGGTGATTTGTGTGGCCCAGCTTGGCTTGGCTCATCACCACTCCCAGCTTTCTCTCTGGAAACCTGCGACTGCTGCAAACCCACAGAGTTAAGCCTACAAGCTCTCTACAGAATCTGTCCCCATGTGGTTCTCTCACATTCTGGTGGGTGTTGTGGCCCAACCTGATGTGACCCACTCCCTGCTCTAACACTCATGGGCTGGTACTGAGACCTAGCTCAATCCGGAATGCCCTGCAGTTCTAGCTTTTTCATGCACTGGTGGGCTGTGGTAGAAGCTACTTACTTAGCCCAACTCAGCTCTCCCATGTTGGCCGTTTCTTGGCCTCCCTCAGACGTGCCCTCCGGCTTTCTCCCACTCCCTCTCAGCTCCCTTGCAGTGACCTGGTCTGTGGAAGCCACTGCAGAAGTCATTCCTCCCCATCAGAGATGCCCTCAGCTGATTCTACTCCAATATGCGCTCAGACTCCGTGTCCTGGACAATCTGAACCCCTTCCCATTCCACTGGTGGGCTGGGGTTGAATGGCGTGGCCTGGAGTTCCCTGCCTTCCCCACTTATCTTAGCTACTGGATGCTTTTTCCCAGTAGTGTAACACTGGCCTAGGTACACAGTGACTTGGCAAGCTGCCTCCCCCTGGGCCGTATCTGATATTCCACATACAGTGTGCAGTCTACAGGACGGCCTGTCATTCTGCATTCAGAATATCTCCCTAGCATTTTTAAAAAAAGATTTATTTATTGGAAAGTCTGATATCCAGAGAGGAAGATCTTCCATCTGATGATTCACTCCCAATTGGGCCAGAGCTGAGCCGATCTGAAGCCAGGAGCCAGGAGCTTCTTTCAGGTCTCCCACGTGGGTGCAGGATCCCAAGGCTTTGGGCGGTTCTTCAATGCTTTCCCAGGCCGCAAGCCCACAAGCAGGGAGCTGGATGGGAAGTGGGGCTGCTTGGACATGAACCGGTGCCCATACGGGATCCCTGGTGTGCAAGGCGAGGACTTTAGCCACTAGGCTACCACGCCAGACCCATCCCTAGCATTTCTTAACCACCTCCACTGCTACCATCTTAGACCATGCTGCTAACAAGTCTTCCAAATTGATGTTACAACTTTATAAAGGGTCTCTTTGTGCCCTTAGCCCTAGGTTTTTCCAAGTGATGCTGTTAAAACCCAAGGCAAGCTATATTAGTCATTCCTGGAGTCTCCTATGCTCCCAGCTCAGCTCAGTGAAAACCCTGTAATAGCTGACAAGGCCTTATGTGATGCAACCCCCTATAATTCCCCTAATCTTTTCTTCTGACAAGTACTCAGGCCAGCCGTCCTGCCTAGTGCCCACCGTCCGAGCTGATCTCCTTGTGTGTTCCTGATCAGATTCAGAGTAGACCTTTTATTGAGTGTGCTCCTGTGTCTCGGTGATGTCAGCTGGTGACAGTGATGCTAGGAGTATAAGCCAGAAAATAAAATGGTTTTTCTGTGCTTTTTATTTTATATTTTAAAGATTTATTTTTTATTGGAAACTCAGATATACAAAGAGGAAGATCTTGCATCGGTTGATTCTACTCCCCAAGCAGCCGAGCTTCTTCTGGATCTCCCACGCGGGTACAGGGTCCCAAGGCTTTGGGCCGTTCTTGACTGCTTTCCCAGGCCACAGGCAGGGAGCTGGATGGGAAGTGGAGCTGCCAGGATTAGAACCGGCGCCCATGTGGGATCCTGCCACTGCATGGCAAGAATTTTAGCTGCTAGGCTACTGCAGTGGGCCCTGGAAAAATAAAATTTAAAAGTTTATTTTTAAGCTTTCTTTTGTTATGTACAACTTAAATATATTAAAAAAATGAAATTTGGCATCGTAAAGCAAAATCTTAAAGATCAGAAAGGCTAGCATAATAGGAAAAAACAAAGGTTAATTTTAACAGGATTTATTATAAAGCAAAGGATTTAGATAATAAAGATATCGCAATGATGATCACATGCCACTTTATATCAGTTAGGATAGCCATTTAAAAAAGATAGCAAGTGTTAGGACATGGAGAAATTGGAATGCATTGATGACACGACTGTAAGCTGGTAAGGTTGCAATAAGAACAGTTTGGTGATTCCTCAGAGTTCAACAGAATTACCATATGCACTTCCAGGGACATATCCCACAGAACCTAGAACAAATATTTATGCAAAAACTTTGTTACCAGTTCTTCGAGGTAACCGGAAGGTGGAAGCAAGCTGAGGTGTTCATTGCCAGAGGAGGGCTAAACAAAGTGTGGTCTGTTCATACAGAAGAATAGTATTCAGACTTAAAAGGGAAAGAAAGCTTGGCGCAGGTATGAACAGCCGAATACATTGGCTTCCTTGGGGGAAGGAAGCTCAGCGGGACTTTGGGACCACTCCATTCTGGAGGCCAGGTTTTTTGGCCCATGGGGGTGGCTGTACCTGGGCTGCATGCTGCCCTGAGGGAGGGGCTCACGCAGTGGGCCTTCAAGACCCCCACCTTGGAGGCTCTCCGAGCTTGGTGTAGGTACGAACAGCCGAGCACATTGGCTTCATTGGGGAAGGGAGGCTCAGCGGGCCTTCGGGACCACCCCATCCTGGAGGTCATGTTTTTTGGCCTACAGGGGTACCTGTAGCTGGGTAGCCTGGGTGCCAAAGGTGTGGGGCGAAGCTACTTGGGCTGCCCAGTGTGCGAGAGCTGCCACTGGGAGGAGGTTGAATGGAGGAGCTTGGGAAACTCCCTCATTGGGACGCAGTCCCTGCAGGTAAGTGCAAGAAGCAAGGCAAGGAGCAGCCCAAACCATGCCGGGTTACAGTACCCACCGACATACATGTGGTCAGGTCTGGGGACAGACCAGTCTGGGCCAGCACATAATACCACTGGCAGATCAGAGAACCAGGGCAGGGGACAGGAGGAATCGGCAACACCGGCCAGTTCACATTAGGACCAGAACAGCAATCAGGCCGGGCTGAGAAACACTGCAGCACCATCAATAGGAGCTGGACCAGGAGGTGGGGCAGACTAGGCTAGGCTAGGCTGCACAATAAAACTGCGGAAGCTCAGGTGAGGCAAGTCATGCCAGCCTGGGCCAAGCGAGGCCTGGTACGTGAGTCCCAGGGACAGGGGATCTGACAGGGCTTGGGTAGGTTGGCTCAGGTATAGGGACCACATGTGTGGTGCGGGATGCATTCCTGAGCCCCGGGGACAGGGGAACTGGTGGGGTGTGGGTTCACTTGGCCAGATCCTGGGGCCCATATATTAGGTGGGTGTTGGAGTCGTGAACTCCAGGGATGGGGGATCTGGGAGGTTTGGATCTCCTGGCCTGGGTACCAGGGCCCTCCTCCTAGGTGGGTGCCAGATTCGTGAGCCTCAGGGGTGGGGGTTCCAGCGATGCTTGGGACACCTGGTGCAGCTTCTTGGACTCACCTGCAAGAACATGCCTTACTTAATGAAAAGGGTGGAGCAATGGACAGAGGCCGTTGTAAAAGGAGATTAAGGCAGCACATTTGGTGCTGTAGCAGAACAGAACTAACTGGACAACAACCCCAAACAAACGATGACAGCAGATAATCTCAGTGCATGGAGCCAGTGGACACTGGGAGGGTGACATCCTCGGATTGGTGCAATTGGCAGAATTCCAGAACTATCCAAACCACTTGGACAGAACCCTCGGAGTATGTCCACCTGGAGACTCTGGGTTGATATGAGGTGGCGGTTCCTCGTCCGTGGGTACTGGGATGTGTGGAAAGTCGTGAGTGGTTTCCCCCTTTGTCTCTCCCCTTCCTCCAGGAACAGCAAGAAGAAATAGCAAATTTGGAAGCAATGAATTCACCCAATTTTCCCTAAACTTTTATCCTTCCCAACCTGAACAACCATGTAATCATTGTTTTAAAAAATAAAAATAAAAAGGGGGTGGGGAGAGATTCTGACACATGCTGGCGCTGGCTGAACCCGGGGATATTGTGCCAAATGAAATAAGCCAGTTACAGAAGGGGAAGTACTGAGTGATGTCACTCAGATGAGGTATTGAAGTAGTCAACTTCACAGAAAGAGGCAGAGGGTGGTGGTTGCTCACTGTTGGGAGACAGAATAAGGAACTTTTGTTCAATGCAGATAAAATTTCAGTTGAATAATATAAAAAGCACTTGGGAGATGCATAATGGTGATGGATGCGTGACAATATGAAAGCATTTAATGTTGGACTAGAAAGGGTTAAGATGGGTAACTTTATGGTATGTGTGTTACCACAAACGAAAGGCTGGAGTGGGTATTGGGTACAACAGTTCAGAAACCTTTTGGAACTTCACATCCCATATCAGAATGTCTGGGTTTGAATCCAAGCTCCATTTGCAGCCTTGCTTCCTGTTCCTGCATACTCTGGGAAGCGGTGTTGGTGGCTCATGTCCAGGGCCCCAGTACTGTGTGCGAGACTTGCGTTGACTTTCTGGCCCCTGGCTCCTGCTTGAGCAAACCCCAGCTGCTGTGGGCATCTGGACAATGAGCCACCGCATGTTCTGTTTATCTCTGTCCCTCTGCCTTTCAAATAAAAATTAAAATGAAAAAAAGATGAACCACATCCAAAAATGTACACTTCAGGAGAGGAGAGCTCTGTGGCATTATGCTGCAAGATTCAAAATATCCTGCTGTTGTATAGGCTTTTTACCCGGTGGTGCTAGTGTTAATTGATGATCTGGCCTGTTCAATTATTACACTATCTGGCGGAAAATTCACGTGATTCCTCAAAGTGCCAAGAAGTTGAAGGCACTTTAATTTTCTGCACCACTATTTGACTGGCTAAGAAATCATTTGATGGTTAGGTGCTCAGATGGAGGTAATCCTAAACTTCTTTGGCTAAAAATAAATGTTATAAATGAAAGAAAACATTGGAGCCCCAACAGGTTCCTTTCCCCATCCTGCTTGCTTGTGACATGCTTCTGTGATGTTAATGGATTTTGTTGTACCACTTCCTGTTTTAGGCAGGCAAACCACGGACCTTGTGGAACTCTTGTCGCTCTTCCCTACACTCGCTGGACTGGCAGGACTGCAAGTTCCACCTCGCTGTCCCATTCCTTCATTTCATGTTGGGCTGTGCAGAGAAGGCAAGAACCTTCTAAAGCATTTTCGATCTCATCAGTTGGAAGAGGGTCCGTACGTCCCTGCTAATCCCCGTGAGTCAGTTGCCTATAGCCAGTACCCTCGGCCTGCAGACTTCCCTCAGTGGAATTCTGACAAGCCAAGTTTGAAAGATATAAAGGTCATGGGATACTCCATACGTACCATAGACTATAGATACACTGTGTGGGTTAGCTTTAGTCCTGATGAATTTCTGGCTAACTTTTCTGACATCCACGCAGGGGAGCTGTATTTTGTGGATTCGGATCCACTGCAGGATCACAATATGTATAATTACTCCCACAGTGAAGAATTTCCCCTGCCTTTCACGCCTTGAGTTTTGTCAAGCACGGCGGTAAAGCGTGCCCTCTCCAGGTGGTGAGAGTAGTTAGTGCTGGTTAGACTGTGACTACTTGCCACGTTGCAGGCATGCACGCAGTTGAAGTGTACACCAACAGCTTGGCCTAAAAATTTAGTTTCTATCCCAGTTTTTATTTATTGAAATTAATTGGTAATTGGATGGGGACTGGGATGAGCCCGTTTTTCCTCTTAAACCAGTTATAGCTTACCCAACTTATTAAATAAATCATCAGTCTTACTAAGTTGTAAATCATTTTAAGGATTGTGAAGACTTTTAATTAGTATAATTAACATTTCAATACCATAGAATGTAGTCATATATTCCTTAATGGGAAAGTAAGCAGAAAGGCAGGGTGGAGTAATAAGATTAGCCTGTATCATCTTAGGAAGGGAGGAATATTTACAAGTCATAACTTGTCAAAGCTGATCAATTTTCAGTCACTTTCAGAAGAGCTAACAGCTGCCTAAAGAACCAAGTAAAGATGAACAAGATATGACAGATGGGATTGTTTCTGAAGCATTTAAATGGTCACCAGAAAAAAACAAGACATATTAAAATCAGTCAAAGTTGATGATAGCAATTTCTTACTAATTAGCCTAACCTAGTAGTATATATTGCCATGATCTCAGAGGTTACTGGTCAGTTTGTGCTTGGGTGAAGATTTTTCATTTCTCATGCTGTTGAATTTGTCTGTTTCTTCTGGAATCCTTGGCATTTGTGGACAGTTTCTATTAACTTTTTTTTCCTATCACATTTTGTATCCTCTTATTCTCTCCACTGTGGTTGTGACAATACAATCTAGATTATCTTTCTCACTCATTTTCAGTATATTTAGCTTTGTTTATACTGCCTTCTAGTTGGAATGAAGCTTTCACACAGATTTTCATGTTACATCCATTTGTTTGCTGCCTCTGGTTGGTTACAGCATGCACTCTTTTTTCTTGTTTTATTTTTGAAGCACAGTTTTAGTATCAGAAACCTCCAAGTTCTGCTCTTGATGAAGTCAGTCGTAAGCTGGGGCTGTGTGTCAGGAGAGAAAGCAAGGAAGCTATGGCATGCAGCTGCCAGCTTAGCGGTGAGTCTGTCATGCTTGTCTTCCAGCTGTGAGTTCTTATTCCCTTCTGTGACCAGAACTCCATCCGGTCTCCGTCTCCACGGGCTACTTTTATACATCTGCCTCCACAGGAAGCACTTGGCTCTCATCCTTTCTGCATGAGCGCAAAGCTCCAGAATGCTTAGGTCTCCTTAGGTTTTAGTTTTTCTTGACTTTCCTTTATGGATTTCTCCTTCTAGAAGCAAGGGCTGCATTTCAACTTGAATGGAATACAACAAGTCATCTTACAAGTTACAGTTGTTTTTTGTGTTTCTTTATTGAACCCAATTTAGAGCTGTTTTCATTTTTCATGTGTCCAACATTAGGATGAGTAACCACTTTTAGGTTTCCAGGTATCAAAATGCATGATAGTCCTTCTCTTTTATGGCAGAAACACAAATTTGTCACTTCATATAACCTTTCCTCACTCCTGCTGAACAAGGTATGTCTTACTAATGAATCTCTAGTAAGTTTATTTGGAGAAATCTATTTCCTTTCAGCAAGGGTTCTTTTATGTAGTTTAATTGAAGCCAGAGCTGTGATCCCAAACTTTTTACATAACCCTAGTTCAACAGTTCACAAACAGGAGGGCACATCAGAAGCACCTGAAGGGTTGCTTGGAGGCAGCATGCTGGCATTTGTACACAGAGGTTCTCATTTAGCGTGTGGGGTATGACCTGCTTCAGGCTGCAAGGTGACGCTGCTGCTCCAGTATCCACACTGAGAAGCCCTGCCCTAGGTCTGTGTTGTCTACTTGATAGCTGCTAAGAACATGTAGCTATTTAAATTTAAATTGTAGAAAGTAAAATTTAAAAAGAAGATTCTCTGTCACTTCATGTTCAACATCATATTCCGAGTGCTCGGTAACCACACATCTAGAGCATTTCTATCACAGCAGAAAGTGTACTGAGCAGAGAGCTGCCCTACATTGTCTCTAGATGTGAGCTGAATCCACTGGCTCCTGATCAGCTCCTCCTGTGAGCTGTTTTTCTATCCTGCGTTTGCCCACAAAAACTTAGCCAGAGGTGGTGATTGAGTACGGAGTTCACTATGGCAGCCAGTCTCTTGCCCTGCATTCCATCACCATCACCTCGGTCCTGCTTCCCTCTTTCCTGAGTAGTTAACCCGCCCCTCCTTGTTCCACCCCTGCTCCTAAAGGAATCCATGTGTCTTCCTGAAGTCCTCTTTGATCCTTCCCTTTATAAACACCGTCAGTGCCTACTAAGGGTCTACATAGACCTCCGCTGAGCAGTCAGAGTCTTCCCTGGCTCCACAATGCCCCTTTCCTTGGCTGACCAGCTCACCTGCTGGTCCCTAACTTTCCCTGGCCTATCCGTGCCTCCCTGACTACTTCTAGATTTTACCTACCCCTTCTGCCCCCATCCACTCATACTCATCTTCATAAACGACATCTATACTCCCCCTGAAGAGGCTGAGGCTTTTGTGATCCTAGTCTGCATTATGGGATGAAATGTATGTTACCGAAGAATCTTGTTTTTATTTTACTTGAAAACAGTAGTTTTTCCCATCATAAAATGGATGAACTGGAAAACAGAAGTGTAATAAAAAAGCAACGAAATACATGAAGCTTGTGTCCTGAGATAGTCACTAATATCTTGTCCTTTCGGGTGGCATGAATTTGTCACATTGTGATCTTACTATGTTCTGTATAATGGAAGTTATGCCTTTTTTGCAGTATTATGTATGGTGATTTCAGAGCTTTGCAAAGATACTTTATGTGCTGGTAAACCACGTAGTTTTGTCACAATTTAGGTAACCTTCTTTCAGTTGTTGGAAATGTAGCTTATTCCTGAATTAACAGTAATACAAATAATGATGTGATGTCAGCTTTGTGAATAAAACATTTTTATGTATTCAAAATTATGCGCTTAGGATAGTCTTTCAGTGCCAAGTTTGTCAAAAAGATCTTTGTTTTGCTGCTTTCCTCACTCTGTTGCAACCTTAAGATAGTGCAGCTTAAAGAAACAAAGTAATAAGCATACAAATAAAAGCAAACAGCCCTGTAGTAACAGGCGAAAACCGATAGCTTATTTTAACTTCGAATTCTTTTCCAGTGACCTTGATTGTTGTTCTTTCTGTATGGGTTTTACACAGTCACATTTCCAGTTGTATGAACTTGTCTTTAAATGTTGTTTATGGATTTTACTTTTAAAAGTAAATAATTTTTCCTTAATATTTTCCTGTTACACATGGAGACCCTATGATCTGGAGATTCAATAAATATTCATTTTGCTTTGTATATTTTGTGGTTTGTTTTTGTACTTTCACTGTCTTTCCATCGCATTGTAATATATATATATATATATACACACACACTCTATAGTATCTATTGTATAGAACCTGGAAAAAGATAAAAAATGGTAAGGAGAAGAAGTCCTCCTTTCAGAATATGATCACAGTTGACATAGATATATTTCTGTGTCCTGTCCACATACATTCACATAAATGGGTACATTTTTAACTTTATGTAGCTGAAATTTACCACATTCGATCTCTATCTTGCTTTTTTGATCTAATGTAATATCAGCACTGTTTTTTATGTCATTGACAGTTCTTTATGAACAGTTTTAATGATATACTGGCCTTTAAACTTTTGCACTGAAATTGTGATGTTTTTGTTTATATTTTAAGTAGTGGTAAGACACATGTAAAACTAGCCATGTTGGGGAGGTTCTGCAGCATCAAGGCCATTCACAGTGCTGTGGTGGTGTCAGCACCAGACATTCACAAAACTCTTTTTCATCATGCAGAATTGAAACTCTTTCATGGAACACTAATTGCATCTCCTCTTCCTGCTGTCCCCTGGCACCCAGCTTTCTGCCTTCTCGATTGGAATTTCACTACTCGAGGTGCCTCATTTAAGTGGAAGTATTTGTCCCATGTGTGACTGCGTTGTTGCACTGAGCATAAGATCCTCAGTTTATCCATGTTATAGCTTGTGTCAAATTTCTTTCCCTTTCAGGCTGAATAGTATTCCATTATTTGTATAGTATTTTATTAATTCAGGCATCCTCTGATAGATACTTGGCTTTTGAGCCCTTGAAAGTAATGGTACTATATCAACATGGGTATATATGTTTGTCCTAGTCCCTGCTCTTAATTCTTTTGGGTACACATGCAGCCTGGGTGAATCGCTTTAAAATGTTGGGATGTGTAATCTAGAGCAGCCTTATCCTCATCACAGGGGAAAGATTTCTCTGGACAGTGACAAGGGGCTGGCTCTTCACCCTCTCAGCCCAAACTTATTGTTGCCTATCAGGTTCCCAATCTGCCCCATATGTCACTGTGAAAAGTTTTGAGCATAAATTCCCAAGTGTGGGCTTAGCCCCTTTTCTTAACCCAAGGACACCCTACAGGTTATAGCTCTTCAGAGGGGTCTGTTGAATCCTGGCCTGTGACATGGGATTAAAGTATTCAGGCTATCCCTTTGGTTTCTGCCTGTGGTCTCCTTAGCATTGGGCATAGCCCTTTGCACCTGCTGTTAGCCAAGCCCCTTCATGCCCTGTTACGCTCCATGTCCCCTTGATTGTCCAAGGTGGTTTCTCTTTCCTGCCCAGGAGGACTTGAACCAGAGTGGGCTGTCAACAAGTAGGTGCCTTGGGGGCATTTTGTCGCCGTTGTAAGGTCCCTCACTGCTGTTGAATCTTACCTTTCCCTAGACTACTGGGAGTTCTTGCCACTGTGCCTGTGCCTTTGCTCACATGATGGGGCAGATGCCACTGCTTGCCTGGGTGTGTGATGTGCTGGGGAATCCATCCTCAGTAATTTCGATGGTTACTGATGTAATTTCTCAGTAATTTCGATGTTGCCTGATGGTTACTCCATGGTATCAATCACCAAATAATGTCTTTGTTTGATTCTGATTCTAGCTGACATCTTAACCTTTGACAGGAGAAGAGCCTGGGTGGAGGACAACTGTGGTTTAAGGTTAGCTCTGGCTCCAAAGCAGGTGTAGGGTGTCAGCTTTCACTTCTAAGCACAGAGCAATGTAGCAGGGCCCACCACAGGAGGAGCCCTACTGACAGTGAAGAACAAAGGCTTGACATCAAGGAGCATATTCATATTCTGCACATACAGGATGCGCGGGAGGATGTGGACAGAGAAGAGGTAAGCTAACTGCTTTTGCTGTATTCCCTGTTACTGCCAGAGATCTAATTTATATGTGGGCAAAAGGAGCAAGACTGAATCTGACATTTACAAAACTCCTGCCTAATTTACTGTCATTTCCAGTGTGCTTTCAATGATTTATATTCAAAACTCGTTATTTACTTAGCAGGTTTTATGAATTCATCTCTTCCACACCATCAAAAACCATACGGTTGTATCTGTGTTAAGTGCAGCCTGAGTTATTGTATGAATGAATCATACTAACTTGGCCATTATCATTATGGGTGAAGTGTTCGCTGCTGTTTTGGGACTGCTTGGTGCTTCTTTAAAATAAAAGAGCATATGAAACATAATGATAACACGGTATAGCTTTCCTCCTTTAGTTTTATTTATTTACTTTTCCCTTTATTTATTAACATAGTTGAGAGGCATGCAGGCCCACGTTGGCCTCTGATTAGGGTGGGGAGGACCAGGTATGGAGGAAGGTAACGTGGCTGGGGCACAGGTCTAGTTTTTTTTTTTTTTGCCGTGTCCACAGGAGAGGAGAAGAAGGAGGGGGCTCGTAGCTGTCAAACTACATCAGCACTCGGGGATGGAGCTGGTCATTTGATGATGCCTTAGAGACACTGATTTGGGCAACTGTGAATCTGAGGGTGTTACTTGAGTGGACTTGATAGTTCTGAGAAGGTGTTGGCTTCATTGCTGCAGGGTTGAGAAAATCTTTCCAAGTTCTATGGGTGGACAAAATCTAGCACAGGGCATCCACAGCCCCAGGAACCTGTTGCAAAGCTTGGGCAGGAGAATTGTGCAACCTGTTCTGCTTTCCATCCTGTGATGTGCCCTGCTGGCCTAGATGAGCTGGCCGTCATGTCCCCCATGTGGATCCGGACATGCTGTCCACTGCATAGGCATTAGCAACTGAGGAGGCCCAGTGCTAGTACATGCACTCCAAGGTTGGAGCACACATCCTGTGATTTTCTCAGTGGCTGGAGTCTGAGTCCAGTGGTGTAGTGGAGTTGTTGTCCCAGGAGACCTACCTGGGGTGACCTCAGACTTGACTCTTGTAAGTGAAGTGCCAGCCAGTGCAGGGTCAGGTGTGGTCTGTCACCTGCACAAGCCAACAGCATGTAACAGCATGGTAGTGAGTGCAGTTGCATGGTCAGTGCCTCCCCAGCCCCATATCTCACATGAACCGACAAGTGCTGTAGCCCAGCCTAGGCAGCCTACTGCAGACCCAGTCTTCATGCATACCAGCAGGTGTTACAGCCTGGTCAGGGTGTCCCTAAATGACCTCCACCAGACCTGCTCCAGCCCCAGTTTTGCACATGCCAGCCTCTACTGCAGCTTAGCCTGGCCCAGCCAACATCCCATCCAGCTCTCATGCAACCCATGGGTGCTACAGCTTAGCTCAGCCCAGTGCATCTCCAGACGTGGCTTTCACATATGCCGACAGGTACCTCTGTCTTATCCAGCCTGGCCTGCCTGTATCCCTGGTGCTTATGCTCACCAGTGGTAGGTACAGCTTAGCAGAGGAGTGCCCACAGTTCCCCTGCCAGGCATGTTCCCAGGCCTGCATCTTGCACCTGCTAGAGGGCACTTTGGTTTAGTCTAACATGACTCACATCCAGTCATGGCATTTGTCATCTGGTGCTGTGGCCTAGCCTGGCTGGCCCACACCCATTCTGGCTTTCATGTGTGTCAGTGAGTACACAGCCTAGCACAGCCTGACCTGTCCCCGGTCCCAGCTCTCATGCTCACCAGTGGAAGCAGCAGGCCAGTAACGGAGTCTCTGAACTTCCCCTACCACAGCTTCTCCCAGTCTTGGGTCTTCCATGTGCCAGTGAGTGGGTGATACAGCCCTGTCTGGGATTACCTGCTTCCAGTGTTATCTGGTGAAAGGTGCTGTAGCCTGGCCCAGCCCAGCTGCCTCCAGTCCTGCTCTCCCCATTATATGTAATAGCCTACCCCAGCCTGGCTCAGTGCTCATGTGCACTGGCGGGTGTTGCAGTCCAACAGCACCTGCATCACATTCTCGCTCTTGCTCATTCTAGGGTGTGTCATGAACTGGTACAGCTTGGTTTGCCCCCAAATCTGTTGCACAAGTATGCCGACTAGTGCTGCAGCCCACCCTGGTGTAGCCTGCTCCAGACCCTGGCTCTCATGCTCACAAGTGGGATCTGCATTCTAGCAAGGAAGTTGCCTAACTTCCCCTACCAGGCCTGCTCCTAGTAATGGATCTCACATGTGCAATGGCTGCTTTTGTTCAACTGACATAGCTGCCCCTTGTCCTTGCACTCATCAGTGAGTACTGTGGCTGAGCCTGACTGGTTCACACCCACTCTGGCTTTCAATTATAGGTGCTATAGTCTAGCCCAGCCTGGGCCACTCCCAGACCTGATTCTTGAGTGACAGCAGTTTCCGTGGCCTAGCTGGGCCTGTCCCACACTCATTCTGGCTCTTATGAGTGCCAGTAGGTGCTGGGGCCTAGTCCAGTTTGGCCTACTCTCAGATCCATCCCACATGCATGCCCATGGATGCTGCAGCCTTGAGCAGCCTGCTTCACCATAGCCTCAGTTCTCATGTTCACCAGTAGGAGTTGCAGCCTAGCATGAGGAGGTCCTCTAAGAGGGCTATTTTCAGCTCTCGTCTTACAGGTGTTGGTGGGTGCTTTGAACCAACTTGGCATGGCTTGCCCACAGTCTCAGCTATGGCTGATGGGTGTTACAGCCTAGCCCTGCTGGGCATAACACATACCCTGTCTTGGCTCTCATGTGGGTCAGTGGGTGTTATGGGCTGGCCCAGCTGAACCCATGCAAATGCTGACCAGTGCTGCAGGCTTGCCTTACCTTCCCCCAGTGCCAGTTCTTGCACTCCCCAGTGGGATGTGTGGCCTTGTAGTGGAGTTTCCTGTGTTCCCCATCCCATGCTGGCTCCCAGCCCCAGATCCCATGCATGCTGGAGCATGCAGGAGCCCTGCCTGGCTAACGCTGCCCTCAGTCTCAGCCTTTGCATGTTATCTGTGGGTGTTGCACACTGGCCTCACCCTGCTTCCTTGCAGCCATACTCCTGAGAGTGTCGGGTGAGTTCTGTGGTCCAGCCTCTCTGTGTAAATAGGAGGGTGCTGCAGTT